CCACATTAGCTCACAAGGGTTTAACAAGAAAACATAAGGTGCCTTTACTCCAGTATCAAGTTACATTTAGGGGAAAATATTCACCGGCTGAACGACTTGACAGCTTATCGTGGCAGCTAGGCAGTGCAGGGGAATCAGGAAAACCTCATTTTAAATATGGCTTCAGTCACTTACTAGCTGTGTGATCCTGGGCAAGTCATTTAGTCCTATGTGCCTCAGTTTCCTCATCTGCAAAATGAGCAGCAGAAGGAAATGGCCGCTCCAGTATCTTTGCCAAGAAACCCTAAATGGAGTCACAAAGGTTGGACACGACTGAAATAACCAAGCAAACAAAGTTGTTGTTGCTTCTGAGGAACGTTGGGGAAATAGCTTTTCTCTGAAAGTGAGTCAGGTTCCTGCCCTGGCTTATCTGTAACCCCTCCGTAGTTCTCTGAATAGAGACAATGATGATGGAGAAGACACAAAGCTTGGGGCCTTCGGTTGCCTCTCCTCCCACCCCCCCCCTTCTTTCCTGGCTGCCTCTCAACAAGCTCAGATCTCTGCAGTCCTTAAAAAATCCCTCAACTTCCCCTAGAGTGTTTACTTCATTAGCTTCCACCCAACTCTCTTATCCTTTCTCCATTAAGGTAGACCACACCATTTATGACTCATATTTCCACATCTTCTACCTCCTACTTCCTCCTAAACCCATGGCAATTTGGCATCCGTCTCCACTATTCTACTGATCCAACTTCCTTCATCATGGTTCAATGGGCTTATCTCGATTCTCATCTTCATTAACCTCTCAATATTTGGCACTGCAAGATATTGCTTTCTCTCAGATTCTCTCCCTTTTTCTTGTGCTCTCCTGGTCCTGCCCCATCCTCTAATAACTCCTCTGTCTTCTTCGTGGACCCTTTTCCTTTCCAGTCTCTTAATGCTGGCATCCCAAGGCTCTGCCTTGGTCCTCTTCTCTCTCTACATTCCATCCTTTGCCAGTCTCATGCGTTCCCTCATCTTTGTTTATTGCCTCCATGTCTTTATTCTTCCCATAAACCACAGGCTTTTATGTCCAACTCTCTAGTGGAGATTGCCATTTAGATGTTCCATTGCAATGTCAAATGCTTACATCCCAAGCTGTACCTATTATCTTTCTTGCCAAATAGCTTCCTTTTTTTTTTAAACTTCATTCTGGCAATATTTGAAAACTGTGGGGGTTGCCTTTGCCCTCTCTCTCACTGCCTACATGTCACCTGTTGCCATAGAGAAGTCCAGTCTACCTGACCAATGTCTCCCAGGCCTTCCTTTATTTTTCTATTTCCACTGTCACCACTGCAGTAGGTATAGACTCTTACTATCACCAGAGGGTAAGATTATGAAAGCCTCCTAATAGATCTTTCTGCCTCCAGTATCTTCCCTGCTCCTGACAATCATTGGTTATTTTCAGATTAATCGTCTTTATTCAGTGATGTGGTCAAGTCACTCCTCTTCTCTAAAGCCTTCTCTAGCTCCTCATTAACTACTGAATAAAGTAGAAAATCCCTACCTCCCCCACACACTCTTCAGCTCCCTTTGGTGGTTGCCTTTTCCCGTTAGAATATAAGCTCCTCAAAGACAGGGGATCTTTCTTTTTGCTTACATTTGTATCCCTGGCATTTAGCACAGTGCCAGACACAGTAAATGCTTAGTGCTTGCCTTCTTCCTTCCTCTAAGTCTTGCTTTTCTTTTCTTTTTTTTTTTGGAGTGAGGCAATTGGGGTTCAGTGACTTGCCTAGGGTCACACAGCTAGTGAGTATCATGTGTCTGAGGCCAGATTAGAACTCAGGTCCTCCTGACTCCAGGGCCAGTGCTCTATCCACTGCACTAGCTAGCTGCCCCTCCTCCAAGGCTTTCTTGAAAACATACTGGGAAGTGGTGTCAACCGCTCTGTGAATGGACCCGTCTTCATTTAATAGGGTGATACAACAATCCAGAAAGAAGACCAACGTCTGGCTGATTGTCCACAGCTTTGAGGGCAAAACTCCTTGGGGAATTTGAGGTCAAGGTGGAGAGAGAAGAAATATAGTGTAAGCAGTTGATTTGGAGTCAGAAGACCTGGGTTCAAATCCTTCGCCTGATGATTTCTGCTTTTGTGACCATAGGCAAGTTACATTACTTAGTTCCCAGTTATCTCATGTGTAAAATGGGGGGTTGGGCTAGATGGCTTCTCAGCTCCAGATCTATGATTCTATGTTTAGCTTCAAATCTTGGATCTGTTACGTATTACCTGTGTGTGGCCATCATTTTTCACTGTGCAACTCAGTTTTCTCCTCTGTAGAATGGGATGTTTTGATGAGGTGAATCAATGCAATGAGTTTTTACTAAGTGTTATTATATGCTAGGAACTGTGAATAAAAATGAAGATAAAAAATTAAGACAGAATTAAATAGTCCCTGCCCTCAAGGGACTTAAATTCTATAAGGTAAACAACAAATATATATATATATATGGATAGATAGATAGATAGATAGATAGATAGATAGATAGATAGATAAAAAATATTCCCAAAGTCAATGCAGGGTAATTGGGAGTGGGAAGGAAGCAGGAGCAGCTAGGAGGATCAGTAAAAACCCGGTGCAGAAGGTGGAATTTCATCTGAGCCTTAAGGAAATAAGAGGTGCTAAGAGGCAGACATGACGAAGGAGGGCATATCAGGTATGGGAGATGCTATGCAAAGGTGTAGTGATGAGAATGTGGTGCTATTTCCATTTGGGAGAGGTCAACCCACTTCAGATCACGCTTTGTGCTCCACCATACCCACCACGTCTTGCCATCTGCCCTGAACATCACCGCTAAGTGAGACGCATCAAATCAACGCTACCATTGTCCACATCAGGGGCATGTCAACGATCTGTCTTATGGTTCCGTTCCCATCCCTGTGACTCCCAGACCAAACTTCCTCCCTGGCCACTGCTCACCATAGGTAGCATCTCCTCTATTAGAAAGCAAGTTTCGTGGGACAGGGACTTTCTGCTTTTGTGTTTGTATGGTCCACATGGCGCAGTGCCTGGCTCATGGTAAGAACGTGCCTTTTCATTCATCCACCCATTTATTTATTACAGAAGAAATGTCCCTCTTACCCACCAAAGTTAATCCATCTATTCGCACCCTTGACCCCATTCCCCCCACCTCCTCTAAGACCTTGTTTCAGGATCCCATCTTCCTAAATGGCCTTCTCTTGGTTCTTTACACATGGCATCTCCCATCCCCATGTTTGGACACTGGCTTTCCCAATGCCTGCGACGTGCTCCATTCTCATGTGGTGCACTGGATAGAGTGCGGGGCTTGAAGTCAGGACGATTCATCTTCCTGAGTTCAAATCTGGCCTCAGACACTTACTAGTTGTGCGACCTTGAGCAAGTCACTTAACCCTGTTTGTCTCAGTTCCTTCATCTATAAAAATGAGCTGGAGAAGGAAATGGCAAAGCACTCCAGGATCTTTGCTGAGAAAACCCCAAAAGGGGTCACAAAGAGATGGACTCAAGTTAAAAACAACAGAACCGCCACCAATTCTTATTCCTAAAAAGGCCTTCCCTTGAGCCATCTAGCCATCCAGTTAATTCCAACTCCAGTTCTCCCCTCTCTGCTTCCCCATTTCTACTATTAAACTCCTTGAAAAAGTCACTATTCTTAGTGTCTCTGCTCATTCACTGCCCTGTTCCTCGTTATCCTCCTGCAAGCTGGTGTCAGTCCCCCTCCTTCTGCTGGTCCTGCTCTCCCCAGGCTCGTTCACGACCTCCCACATCCATGCTCTTTCTCAAGCCTCCTCCTTGACTTCTCTGTAGCTCTCCCCCCACTACAGACTCCTGATTCCCACAGCATTTGCTAGGGTCTCTCCTTCCTTTGTCTCCTTCTATTGCAGCCACCCTTCCTAAGGAGGCCTGGCCTGGGCCCTCCTCTCTCCTGCCTCTCCAGCCTCCCCCAAGGCAGCCTCATTCAATCCCATCATTTCTGCTCCTCTGCCCTGGATGGGCCAAGCCTGGCTCATCATCTCTGCTCCCAGCCCCTTCTCTGAGCCCAGTAGGCCTGGAGGACATTTCTCTCCACTGGCTGAGCCTCATCTAGCCTGCTCCCTATTCTGGCTTTATTAAGTGTCTCACTTCACTATTCCCCTGGTCACCTCTGTTTATCACCTTGAGTCTCTACCTCCCCTCCCATCCACTGGCCAGGCTCTGTGATCTCTCACCTTTATCCTCTCCCTCTAGTCTCACTGCCACCACCCAGGACAGGCTCCATTTCACCCTCCCAGACCATCATGAGGTCTACCTGCCTCTCTCTCCTCTCTGCCAATCAACCAGTTGCTAGTATTTACAGTATTACTTTACATAAGAAAACAAGATTTTTCATTTGGTCCTCTCAACAACCTTGTAAGATTGGAGCTATTATTATACTTATCTTACAGATGAGGAAACTGAAGCTGAAAGAGATTAAGGGGCTTGCCCAGGGCCACACAGTTAGTAAGTATTTGGGGCAGGATTTGAATTCAGGTTTTCCTGACTCCATGTTCACTGAGACACCTAACTGCTTCTAACCAATAAGCAATTATTAAGTGCCTACTATATACCAGGCACTATGTTACATATGGGGTAAAAAAACAAAGAATGGAATAATCCTTACTCTAAAGGAACTTAATATTAAGACATAAAAGTGATCTTCCTAGTACCCATACCTAGTCATATCACTCCCCTGCTCTCTGATCTTCGGTGGCTCCCCATTGCTTCTGTAATAAAGTTCAGGCTTTTTATTCTGCCTGACATTCAAGGCTCTTTGCACTCAATCTTTGTCCCTGGAACATGCCCTGGGCTTTCCCACCTCCATGCCTTTGCTCACATCATTCCTTTTACCTCTTGAACCCCTGTCCGTCTTTTAAAGTCTGATTCCAAAGCCACTCCTTTTCCAGATCTCTAGGCTTGGTAATGACTTCCTCCCTCTAACTTCACCCAATCATAGATTCAGAGCTTCAAGGGACTCTAGAGGCTGAGTTTAGATAAATGGGCTACATTTGGATCCCGAGAGCCTTTATTTTACAGGTAAAACGAAGTGAAGTGACTTTCCCAGGGTCAGCCAGCAAGTAAATATCTGAGTCAGAATTTGAACCCATCACTTCCTGATTCCACTATTTCCCACAGCCTCTCATTGTGCAGCTCACTAAAATGAATAAACGAGAATACATTTTTAAAGCACCAGCTGTGTGCAAAGCACTCTGTACTAAGTACTGAGTCCTATTTCTAGAGAAGAGTTTGGGAGGTCACATTTTAATGGCCTTTAGGGCACAGTAGCAGAAGAGATGTTCATGCCTTCTGCCGATAAAATCCCATTGGTTTCTGATGTTGAGCCATTGGTCGGGCCGGGACTTGGGTGAGGAGAACGTTCCTTTGTACAGGGGCAGGTAGTGGGCAGGCTGTGGCCCCAGAGGGGTTATTTCCTGGGATTATCACTGCACTGGAGGCAAGCCCAGTTTGTGGGGTTTGTGGGGTGCTACCATTCCCAGGGCTCTTGTGCTGGTGGTCAACTTTGGGTAGTGGCCAGGAAAGTGGACCCCATCTCCATGGGGACTTCTTCCCTTGGGGAGGGGAGGTGGGTTCAGGTCCTGGGCTGCCTCCGCTGGGATCTGAGGAGAGGCAAGGGTCAAGGTGGTGGTGGTGGTCGAGCTGCCTGTCAGGAGCTGTTTCTTGTCTCCTTCTGGATGACTTGGAGCTGGAAAGGACCTTAGAGGTCATCAAGTCCCACAGGGTCAAACTCATCTTTGCAGCTGCAAATTAACTAAGAAAACCACAAATTAACAATATCTATGTTGTATTGCATTTTTATTTCTTGTCTTAAATGCTTCCCAATGCTTTTTTAAATGCTTAAATGCTTTTTTCTTTTTGGCTAGGCAATGGGGTTAAGTGGCTTGCCCAGGGTCACACAGCTGGTAAGTGTCAAGTGTTTGAGGCCAGATTTGAACTCAGATCCTCCTGATTCCAGAGCTGGTGCTCTATCCACTGCACCACCTAGCCGTCCCTCCCAATTACATTTTAATCTGGTTTAGGCAGCATTCAGGGCTGTTTGCAGCCCAAAGACCTGGAGTTTGACATCTCATTCTATTCCATACTCCTTGTTTTATGGGTGAGGAAACTGAGTCCCAGAGAAACCGAGGTCACATAGGTGGTAAATGGAATAAGTGGGATTCAAACCTGGGTCCTTTGAAGTCCGATTCAGTGATTTTTTCACTGGTCCCGCTCCCATCCCCTTTGACCTAAGTCACTGTCTGGTCCCTCTTCCGGACTGTGAGCCCCGCGAGGGCAGGGACTGTGTCTGGTCCTAACTTTCTGTCTCTGCCCGTGGTCAGCCTAGGGCTCCGAGGGCTCTGCACCTAGCAGGTACTGCGTAAGTATTTGCTCTTCCTAATCAGTGACTCTGTAGGCTGAGCAGTTGAGAATCTCCCACCCGGCTCCTCTCTTCAGAGCTTCCTCCCCCAGCAAGATTCCAAACAAAATCCCCTTAAGCTGCTGTTTACTCACCCCTGACCCAATGTTCTGCTAAATGTTTGGTTTTGAAAACGGCTGCTGCTTGTTTCAGGCAGTCGCTCGGTGCTCCTTCTGCAGAGGGTAATGGGCTTCCGCCGCACGCGGGACGATGCGCTTCTGCCGCCTGCGGTCGCTTCCTCTTCGTTGAGCGGGCGGCCGGGCAGCCGGCAGGACCCGAGCCCTGCGCGTCTTCTGGAGGAGGGGGCACAGAAAGGCGCTAGCCATCATTCCTCTGACAAAGCACTTTACAACAGCGTCCCCGCAGGATGCACACAGCAGCTGTTTCTTTCCCCCATTTCATAACTGAGCAACTGAGGCACAGAATCATGGAGTGACTCGTCCAGAGTCACACAGCTAGAAAGGGGTGGAGCTGGGACTCAGACGCAGCCCATCAGCCTCTAGGTCTGACATTCTTTCCAATACATCTGGTGACCTTGCCTTTGAAGAAGGGGGGCTGGCACCACTCTGCAACTGTGGCCAAGCTGCTTCATGTCTCTGGGCCTCAGTTTCCTCATCTGTAAGATGAAGGGATCAGACTAGATGCCTTCTAGTTTTAATCGATGGGGCAGTGTCTAGAGCAAGAAGACTCATCTTCAGGAGTTCAAATCCAGCCTCAGACACTTCCTACCCGTGCTTAACCCTGTTTGCCTCAGTTTCCTCATCTGTAAAATGAGGATCCTAACAACGCTTACTTCCCAGGGTTGTCGCGAGCATCAAATGAGATCATGTTTGTAAAGTGCTTTGCAAATTTTGAAGTGCTGCACAGATGCTGACTGTGGTCATTTCCTAGCACCAGGCGCTGAAGGGTGAGCACCTCTTGTGGGCGGCCAAAGTGGCCTCACAGTCTGAGGCCAGTGCGGCAGGTTACTGAGATAGTGGAGTAGCTGCCAGACCCAAGGATGCCGGTAGGAATGATTCATAACCAGGGCAGGCAGCTAGGTGGCACAGTGGATAGAGCACCGGCTCTGAAGTCAGGAGGACCTGAGTTCAAGTCCGACCTCAGACCAAACACTTCACACTTACTAGCTGTGTGACCCTGGGCAAGTCACTTAACCCCAATTGCCAAAAAAAAAAAAAACCCCAAAAGAACAAAGGAATGGTTCATAACCCCATGGCCGAGAAGACTTGCAAAGTGCTTTCCTGACAAGAGTATTACCATAAGCCCATTTTACAGGTGAACAAACTGAGAATCAAACAGATGAAGGGGCTTGCCAGGAGTCACTTAGCCAGTAAATATCGGAGCCGGGACTTTGGCTGCTCGATCTTGGGCAAATCCCAGAATGACAGATGTTTCACCAAACAGTTTTGAACGCGGGCATCTCTGAACTTGAAGCCCAGAGAGATTTTCATTGTGCAAGCCGGAGACTGGTCTCCGAGTGGCAGACTGACTCATGAGCGCTGTGGGATTTCCTGGGTCCTGTCTGTAGGGATTCTGTGGCTGGGGAGTGATTACCACACTAGCAAGACCTTGGCATATTGACCCTTCCTTTGGCCTCCAGGTACGGGCACTTAACCACGAAGTTTTTCTAAACCAGTTCAGTCAGAGGAATCTTCACTTCCCTTCGCACTCGCAGTCCCATTTGTCATTCTTTTGGCTTCGGTCAAGACCCTGCCCTGAGAGGCCCCTAGGATTTTTCTCTTGTTTGTCCTTTAACTCTCACATGGTCCTTTCCCTTTTCATATTCTATATATTGTCTCTCCAGCCAGATTGTAAACTCCTGAAGGGCAGGGCCTGTGTTTTGTATGACTCATTGGAGGCAATTAATAAATATGAGGGGCTTAATTTTTTGGCTACCTCATGGGCCATAGAATGGCAGAAAGGGGGCTGGATCTGAGAGACAGCAGAGAGGGTGATGCAGTGGATAGAATGCTGAAAACCTGAGTGCAAATCCTGCCTCAGACACTAAATATTTATGTGACTCCTATTGCCTCCTGGATCAAATATAAAATCCTTTTTGGCTTCTAAAGTCTTCCACAAGCTCTCTCGCTACCTTTCCAGTCTTCTTATGATATAGACCCCCACGCTCCAGGAATCATGGCCTCCTGGTTGTTCCTTCAACAAGACCGCCCTCCATCTCTTGGCTTTGGCCGTTTTCACTAGCTGTCCCCCAGGCCTGGAATGCTCTTCCTCCTCATCCATCCCTCCTGGCTTCTTGGCCTCCTTCCAGTCTTAGCTAAAGTACCACCTCCTAGGAGAGCCCCATCCTGATCCCTCTTACTGCTGGGCCCTTCCCTCGCAGGTAGCTCCACCTTATTCTGTACATAACTAGTTGTACACAGTTCTTTGCATGTTGTCTCTCCGATTAGACTGTAGGCTCCTTGAGGGTAGGGACTGGCCTTTTCTTTTTTGTTGTGTGTGTGTTTTCAGGCTTAGCACAGAGCCTGGCACATAGTAGCTGCTTAATAAAAATTAGTCATTTAGTGATCCTGGCCAAGTCACTTGACTCCTGGACTCAGTTTCTTCATCAGCAGAATGAGGACGATAGCACCTACCTCAATCAAATGGTCAATAAATATTTATTAAGGACCTACCATGTACCAGATACTGTGCTAAGCACTGAGGATACAAAAAAGAGGTAAAAGACAGTGCTTGCCCTCAAGTAGCTCACAATCTAACCTGCCCCACAGTGTGGTAAGCAATGAATCAGATGACTGCGCAAAGTGCTCCAGAAAGAGCTTTGAAAATGTCAGCTATCATTAGTGTTTGAATTCAGAGGACCCAGCTTTGAATCCTACCTGTGTGACCTTGGACATTTCACTGAACCTCCCTGGGCCTCCGTTCCCAGAGCTGTAAAATGAGGGATTGGACTAGGTGGCCTCTGGAGTTCCCCTAGCTCTAAATCTATGGACCAGGACCAGGTAACTCGGACTTTGCCCCAGGGCACCCAGATTTAGTAGCACTTAAGCCATTTGGATTTCTTTAGCTGGTAGAAGCTTAGCCCCGGATCCTAGCAAGCAAGTAGCAAGAGTAATTCGTTGGAAAAGGGAGGTAGCCGAAGGCACATTTCTCCCTCCCATCCTGCCCCCTGAGAGGGAGGGGTCCATGGCAGGACCGTCCTGGTGTCCTGGGCTCTCTTACACTAGAGCATCTTTTGGCCTCTGCCTGAGGTTTCTGCTCCTCCTTCTCAGCTGAAGATGTCTGAAAATGAGTGGAGGGTTCCTTTGGCACCACTTTGCTAGAGACCAAGAGTTTTCTGGGTCCTCCCCCGGGGGAGGAAGCATCCAGAGATGCTAGTGAGGATGTCTACACTGAGCTGATCCCGTGTGGGGAATCCTGGCACTGGGAGAGGCACAGAATGGTGTATGTGGAGGGGGCCAGTTGGTAAAGGAGACTTTAGGAAGAGACCATGAGGCTGGCTATGGGGCAGGAAGGCCATGGGTTTCACTGCTAGCCCATACTGGCCATCATCTTCATTGTTTAGTGGGTGACTTTCATGCCAGCCTCTTGAAGGAGGGTTCATTTATTTCAGAGGAAGGGAATCCCATCACCCAGAGAGTCTAGCCTGCCCCTCTACAGCCTAGTCCCTTACCCTTGATTCCTCCAACCTGGGGAAGAAATGTGTGTGGGAGGCATTATGGCAATGGAAAAAGGTCCAATGGTGATCATCTCCCTGGACTCCAAGAATTGATAGGAATGTATGGCATATACAGTAATGAGCCACTAGGTTTCAGGAGAAGATTGTAGTGGAGTATGGCAGCCCAGATTCCAGGTGAGATATTGGGGGCCTTGTGGCATGGGGCTGATGCAGGACTCTGAGTGAACAAACCACCAGTTTCCAAGGTAGAACTCTTTGAATTTCTGCAGCCTGGTCCAAATCCCTGACTGCCTGCCCTAGTTACAACTCTGTTGGGTAGACCACTTCCTGGTGATCAGACTCCTCATTTACCTTAGCTGGTCCTGAAGTACTGCTGTTGCTAGGACCATAATCTAAATCTTTTCAGTGTGGGAGAGCCTGCCCAAACTTATACACCAGTTGACCACATCCCACACCACTGATCACATCTTGTTAGTTCCCCACCACAGTGAGGCACTGGCAGGGCTTTTGTGCAGCAAGAATGGGGGTGGGGTGGGGGTGATAGAGGAATATACTCAGGATGGAAACCCTGGAATCCACAAAGTACTTAAGACCTAGACTAAGGTTTCCAGAAATTTGGTGGCTCTACCATGAGTCAACTTGAAGTAGTGCATAATGTGCTGTACTTGAAAGCAAAAAACCTGGGTTCAAATCCTGCCTCAGGCACTCATTAGCTATCTACAGTGATCCTCACCAAGTTACTTACCTCTTTGTGCCTCAGTTTTCTCATCTGTGAATGGGGATGTTGGGCTAGGTGGTCTTTACAGCCCCTTGCAGAACTAACCTGATGCTCCTCTTTGCCATCCATGTGACTCTAAGTCACTTCCTCTCTCTGTGCCTACGTTTCTTCATCTGTAAAATGAGAACCTTGGACTATATGGCTTTCCATCTTTAGATGTGTGATCCTGTGATCCATGGAAGCTTTAGAAAGAATTGGGCAAGGGTCCCATGAGATAAGAAGGAACACTTTGGTTGCACCTTCACCATTGGAGTGAGCCCCCACCCTCAAAAGATTATGGACCCCTTACAATATTGATGGGCAAGTTTGATTGACAGCTGATACATGTAAAAATGATAACAGTAGCTCTCCCAAACCTATCATTATCTTGGTGTCTACTACCATAATTAAAATGGTGTTTAATTATGCAAAGAAATTGCGTTTAAGCCAAAGTTCTGCCTTCTGAAAATAGAACATTTCATGGTTTGACAATACTGCTTTGAAGAGCAAATTTTTTCCCTCATTTCAAATGAATGTGCAATCTCTGCAATTAAATCCACACACCTGTCTCCAGTGTCCCTCCAGCTACAACATGAGATGTGCTGTTTGGAAGTTTTGCAGCAGGGAGAGGAACACAGGAGAGAATTTAGTTCAATTTAAGAACTCGAGGCCAGAACATGTGTTTGGATTCTTTTGTCTGGATTCAGGGACTGAAAAACAGCTGTATGGAAAGAGGAGAAATACTTCACACAAAAATGTACAAATATCTATAAGCAAGCTGTCATTTGGCTCTTTGGAGAAATGTCTCAGCTTGTTCATTGCTGCAGTATCCTGGTGTGTCAGGCACTGGAGTTCAGAGGACTGTGCATTTGGGACTGAGGGACCTTGGAGATAATCTAGCTTTTATTTTACAGATGAAGAAACTGAGGCACAGAACGTGATCGCCCAAGATCACATAGATCATAAGTGGCAAAACTGGGTTTGTTTTAA